TACAGCCCTTCTGCAAGTTTGGATGGACTTCATTCATAATCTAGGGTCTCTTCTGCACACTATACAACTCTGAAGAAATCATATACTTGTGTCTTGTTACAATACTGTGGAGCTTGCAGAGGTCTTCACAAGCTAGTTAATTAACTTCTGCCTCAGTGGATGCTCCTGGGAGAATACTGCAGATCTGATTTCACAGCATTTCTTCTGCATCTATAGGATAGAAGACTGTTTTTCGTCACCAAGAACTTCTGCTTAAACCTCCTGATGCCTCCTGATACTCACAGGTTCTCCTTCCTGAAGTTCCCGTATTGTGCCTTTTTGTCATCCCTTTTATCCTTCTCAATTGATTTGAGGTGCAACTAAGGCACTACTCTACAAAGTAGAGGCCAGGTCTTTCCCTTAACCATAAGAACATAGCAGAAAAAGCAAGGGAAAAAAAGACAGTAGAGCACTGGTTCAACCTTTTTGGGTTTGTTTTTTTTTTAACTCTACTTTTGATCAGTTTCATAGAATATCAGTCTACTCAAGAAATTTGCTTGGCTCTCAAAAAAGAAGAAAAATAGAATGACATAACTTGGAGCATTTGGAAGCAAAAATTGTGGCTGTGTAGAAGTATTCCAAATATGGCATCTCAAATTACACTGGGACTTTAACTTTCTGGATAACAGAGTAGAGCTGTTTGGAATGCTTTTCAGTTTCAACGTAATGGTTCTTCTTCAGCCTTTGGTATCTCTACAGAACAGATGCTTCCCCTCCTGTCTGCATATATGTCAATATAAATATACAACTTTTATATTACATAGTTTGCAAATCAGACAACCCAGCATTTTTAACCATTCTTCATAGGACTTTATACCCTTTATCATTTGATAAGTCTGTTCTGAAGCCTTCCTCCAACTTTGCCCTGCCCTTTCAAATTGAGAGGTCTAGAACTGGGATAGTAATTCAAATAGAGCCGTAACATAAAATTACTTACTGTGATTGTGTGCAATGCTTCTGTCAAGGTGGCCCAAGATTGGGAGTTGTTACTGGTGAGGAATTCTAAATTGATGTTCTGTGGATCATAGGAGCCATTTTGGCTGAAAAGGCAGCTGGAAAATGAAACTGGACTGCTGAATTTTTTTCTGGATCAAGAAGAAATCTTGAGATTATTCATATGTATTCTGGACAGCTGTTTCTTGTGAGTAGATGGCAGAAACCGTGATCAGCTGGGAGTCATAGTATTTTATCATGCTCTGAGACATTAATATAACCTTGTATGGACTCAAAATCTGACCAAACTTCATTTTTTAAATCACTTTGGAGTTTATTTTTTTTTCTGTTATTGTTTGTTAGATTGAAAAACCCTTTAAAACTGCAAAGCTGATATTCACTGGGTGAATTCATTTAAAAAGAAAGAAACTTATGTGTTTAATGTTTTGTAAGAATTTTCATTTTTGCAACATACATCAAAAGGTTAATTATACTGCTGATTTTAGAAAGCCTTTGAATGGATTTAGGGTTCAGATGAATTTGAATTAAATAAAGACTTTGAAGTTAATTAAATGGATGCTGTCCTGTGGAAAAAGTTCTTCTGTATATATTTCAAGCTGATAACAAAACTTTGAAGATTGGACACCAGAGGGCATCCAATGTCTACTTTAAAGGAAATGTCTGAATTTTGGGTTCAAGGCGTTCTTGAGCAGTGTTTCTCAACCATGACAATTTTAAGGCATGTGGACTTCAACTCCCAGAATTCCACAGCCAGCAATGCTGGCTGTGGAATTCTGGGAGTTGAAGTCCACATGCCTTAAAATCATCAAGGTTGAGAAACACTGTTCTTGATCTATTTAATTCTATAATGGAATAAAAAGTTGTTATTGAAGAGGAACACGTTCCATTGAATAAAGCTGAAATGGACTTTAAGATAGATTTTAAAAATTGCAACTCACAAGAAAGAGATGGTAATATAGAGTTTACAAATGGAACTGTGTAATGACCTGAACATTTTAAAAAGACAATAAGCCAAAAGAATAACATGGATTACCTTCTTTTACTGGAATAGAAGGAATTTACAGGAGTGACAACACTGGAATTACAAAAGGTCTTTGATAAAGATGACAAGATTTGAACAAAGAGATAAAGAGTGTGAGAAAGCAGATGTTGGTGTTTTACAGATAGTCCTCAACATACGACCAAAATTTATGTTGCTAAGTGAAACATTTGTTAAATTAGTTTGGCCAATTTTATGACCTTTCTTGCTACAGTTGTTAAGTGAATCACTATAGTTATTAAGTTAGTAATTTGGTTGTTAAGTGAATTTGGCTTCCCCATTGATTTTGCTTGTCAGAAATTCACAAAAGTTGATCACATGACCCCAGGATATTGCAACCATCATAAATATGAACCAGTTGCAAAGCATCTGAATTTTCACACTTACAGTTGTAAGTCGAGGACTACCTATCATGGGTCAAAGATCAGTGAGAAAAGTAAGAAATACAGAATTGATTTATTTGATCAGTGTTAAAATAATGGGTTGCTATCTCTGGTGATGTCTAATCACCAGAAAAAACACTGCAGATTGTGGTCACATAACCACAGAATTCTATAACTGATCATAAAGCTGACCCATCTGACATGTGACAACCATTTACGTTGGCTGCTGGTTAGTGTTAGAGTTAAGCCATAAAGCACCTATTTTGTGGCCATCATAACTTCAAATGGTTGTAAACTGACTGATCCTTAATCAAGGACCATCATCCTATTAAATTAAATAGATAACCTTTATTGTCATTTTTTCTGTGGGCACAATGACACACATTAAAAATGAAATTTAGTTGCTAGCTCTCAAAGTGTGCGCATATATAACACACATTTAAACATCCTATATACAACATATGTATAGACCTACACCAGTGATGGTGAATCTTTTAGAGACTGAGTGCCCAAACTGCAACCTAAAACCCACTTATGCATTGTCAAGTGCCAGGTGAGTGTGGCCCATTGGGTGGGTGTGGCCCATTGGGTGGGCATGGCTGCGGTGGTAATGGCAGACTAGGTGGGACTAAAAAGTTCAATCAATCAATTCCAACTTTCCAAAATCTTTTTTTCCCGTGAGAAGTTGAAATTGACTGATTGAACCTTTTTTTTTTTACACACAGCGGCGGAAGCCTAAAGCGAAAAGGTTTTATAAAACTCAGCTGAAGGCCTAGGACTGGGGCAACGGCACATGTGCTCACAGAGAGGGCTCTGAGTGCCGCCTCTGGCACCTGTGCCATAGGTTTGCCACCACTGACCTACACCCTTAAATATAAGCAACCTATAAATACTAATCACTGTCCATTTTGAATATATAACGGAAGAAGGAAGCTTTAGAGTTCACAAGGTTAATACTGTATGGAACAGAACTGTGACTGAATCTGCATGTTCTGCTTCAGATATTATGGAGCCTCCTCCCAGAAGAGGATGTGTAGTGTCCCAGACAATCTTACGGACTCTGTTCATGCAATGCTTATATGCTATGTCCTGGATGGAAGGACGGGAACTGCCAATAATCTTTTCAGCCATCCTCACCACTCTCTGCACCACCATCCTGTCTGAAGCAGTGATGCTTCTAAACCAGACCGTGATGCTGTATGACAGGATGCTCTCGATCTTCCCTCTGTAGAAAGTGGGAAGGATAGGAAAAGGAAGACTAGCTTTTCCCATGAGATGCAGAAAATGCAGGTGCTGCTTTGCCCATTTTACCAGTGTCTCGCTGTTGAGTGATCAAGCCAGCCTAGTTCTTAGCTGCACACCCAGGAATTTGATGTTGGTAACCATCTCCACAGGTGAATCATTAATGCATGGAGAAGTGTGGCTGTGTCTGTCTTTTCTGAAATCGACAATGATCCCTTTGTTTTTTCCAGTATTATAACTAGGCTGTTTGTCTACTAGATGCTGGGGAATAATTGTGTTAAATGCCGAATTGAAGTGTTGTATTTCTTTCCTCTAAGTGCTTCAAGTTCAGATGGAGAACAGAAGAAATAGCATCCTCTGTACAGCAAACTGAAGCAGACAAATGCTGGTGAGAGGCTAGATATAATAATGTCCTTTATCAGTTTCTGAAAGCATTTCATAATGATGGATGTCAGTGCAACTGAACAGTAATCATTGAGGCCTGTAATTGTGGACTTTTTTGGCACTGGCAAAATGATGGCCATCTTAAAACACGATGGGACCACTGCCTGCTGCAATGAGAGATTGAAAATATCTGTGAGAACACAAGCCAGCTCATCTGCGCATTCCCAGGGATATTATCTGGGCCTGCTGCTTTCCGAATGTTAACTTTAACATTTTCACACTTACAGTTGTAAGTGTGAAAAATGGTCATAAGTCATTATTTTTAGTGCCATTGTAACTCTGAATGGTCACTAAATGAACTCATGTAGCATATTCTATTCTATTATTCTATTAAAATTAATATAGCATATTCTATTAGTAGGCTCATGAGAATGGTAGTAATATATAGAGAGGATAATCTGATAGTTTCATATTTTTGGAAGAAAATTTTTAACTAGATTTGTATGTGTATAAGTATATATAGTGTATACACACATACCACACACACACATAAAAATTAAATCTTCAAAGTTAAGTTTACTACACATATTGTTACTATGCATATTTGATGATCAGAAAAACAGATTTCAAACTCATCGAATTTCTATTTTGTAACAGTCAAATTAATTATTAAACGGTCCAGCCATTTGCTGGAGAATTTGGAAAGACTATTTGTACCCAGCTCTAAATTGAAGGCATTCATTAAATCTCTTACTAAGAATATTTTTAAGGCTTAGAGCTTGAATAGTATGCATTTGCACGGAGACTACAGCAGAGGGCGCTAATGGAACATATAAAGAGCTCTGGAAAAAACTGGTCATTTTTTATAAAAAATAGAGGACAGTCTATAGCAGAGGTCTGCAACCTTGACAACTTTAAGATTTGTGGACTTCAGCTCCCAGAATTCCTCAGCCAGCCAGCTGAAGTCCAGAAGTCTTAAAGTTGTCAAGGTTGCAGATCCCTGGTCTATGGTATGTCTTTAACTCAACCTTTGCTATTCACATCTATTTGTCCAAGAAACTGATGAATATGTTGTGACAATACTACTGTTATGATGCATCCTTAATGGCTATATTTCAAGATAACTAAAATGGTAATGAAAAGAAAAGTGATATTTTAGAACATGTATAGAAATTACTCACTACCCTATGTTTACTTCAGATATACAGTAAAATGATGGTTTATGTGAGCTTCATTTAATTTTTAGAGTATGTAAATCCTTAAGAAACTGTATATCTTCTGAATTTTACAGTATATATTATAGTATACTTCAATTTATTAGTACATTGATTTTTTGTTTTAAGGTATCTCCTTAAATACTGACCAAATTGTTTATGTTTTTCATAGATTTCTTATTTAATTTATTTGTCTGTAATATTTGGGAAAAGAAACATATATAAATATTAAAAAGGAAGATGGAAAAATATACATAAATATTCATTACTCACTATTCACTTCATCTTACAGGTTAGGCAATTAATTTGTTTGCATTTAAATCAGTTTAACCTAACTTAAAAAATAGATATGTAAATTTAAACGTGCAAAGTTGTATACACATTCCAAAATTCTCTCAACCAATTATAGAATCTTGCTCAAATACAGAAAAAGAAGCTTTTCATACCCTTTTATAATTAGTAGAAAATGGATTTCTTTCCGATCTTATAGTCTTCCTTATCATTAATCTATAGTCAAAAGAATATGATCATTTACAAAACCAGCGTGACTTCCAGAACAGAATTTATATGAGATAACCACTAGCCAAAATAAAACCATTAACACACAAGACAACATTATGTGTTTTGTGTATCTGATTTCCAGGACTTAACTGAAAGTTTTTTCCTGAAAATTTATTAAATGCCATCAAGTCAGTGTCAATTCTTAATGACCACATAGATATTCTCCAGATCAATCAGCCCCATCCTGGTCCTTTATGTACCCACTGACATTGTAACTGAGTCTATTCACCTTGCTATTGACCATGCTTTTTCTCTCTTTCCTTTTATGTTCCCCACATTATAGACTTGTGGGGTCCTTTGTGCTCTCTGAGCTTAGTTTGCTTGCAGACATTTCAATACCTAACTAGGTAACATCATCAGTACATTATAGATTTTTCTATAGAGCTTTATTCCTCACTTAATATGTTTGAAGGATGATACTTTCAGTCTTGCCATTTGTGCCTTGACTGAGAACTTATTTGATTTGTTGATTGTTCATTTGTTTATTTTCTTGATTATCCACAGTATTTCCAAGAGTCTTTTCCAATACCCTCGTTCAAAACAGTCAGTATTCTTCTTATTCTGCCTCTTCAAATTCACTTCCATAAAGTGTCACAAGAAAACCATTGTCTACATGATTCTTATCTTTGTAGGTGTAGACAAATCCCAACATCTGAATCCTGTCCTGGTTACCCCTTAAAGTTGAATGTGTACAAATCTGGGTTCCTAGCAGTGGTGGGATTCAGCCAGTTCGCACTAGTTCAGTTAGAACTGGTAGCTAATTTTTTGTTGCCCAGGCCCAGAATGGACTTCCGGAACAACAACATAGAGAATTGGTTGTTCACATATTTGAATCCCATCATGGTTCTTAGCCTTTGAGATGGACTCTCCCTCTTGTCCTTCGCCTTTCTTCTTCTTTTCCTTCTAAGTATTAGTCACCAGAACTTTAGGGGTTTTGTTAGCTGATATTCCCTCCTTTTGACCATTTATATTGGCAACTGTGAAAACACCCCATTTTCCATTATTAATAAACTGCTGGAGTTTGGCAGTTTTTGTCCATCCACACTGCATAATTTTTCAGACCTTGGTGGGCTTGGATTCAAACTATTGAATAATCCATGGATGTATATTCCTTTGTCCTTTCTCCAGTTTTTAATCTTGATCCAGAAGTATAGAAGGATAGAAAAAATGAGGGAGGTCCAGAACATTGCAGTATGTAACGTTCTGGATCTTCCTCGTTTTTTTCTATGCTTCTTTCTATCTCAGAGCTTTATCATGACCCTTTATTAGGAGCAGAGCCCAATTCAAGCTCTGAGTGCTAGTTTTTAATTTCCTATATTTAGACACTCTTCTGGGTCCCAGATCCTGTCCTGGTATGATCCTATTTATACGACACAATCAAAAGAAAGGGTCTTTTTTCCGTTCCCTTTTTTGTGTTCTGCTCCAGCTCACTTGTGTACCTTATAGAGTTCTCCCAGTATTCCGGTTTCACCCATCCTTGGATGAGGTTAAAAATATTTGAAAAACTGTTTATTCCATCAAGGAGATTGATTGGTGGAATGACTGCGAGCAGATGCTGAAAATAGCCATGGGCTTTTTTACTGTAAATCATTTAAGTAAAGTGAGACAGTGGGTAGGTTTATAATGTATAATATTTGTTCATTGTGATTATAAATACATCACGGGGATATACCTTTTTTATTCTTAAATTTTCTCCGGTTGACTAAAATCTGCGTTGTTGTTTTGTTTGTACCTACCAAATTTGGCCTGCTGATATATAATATGAATGAGACTAAGGTGATTTAGGAAGAATAATCATGATAAATGTGCTATTGAAGGACAGAGAAAGAGTATGCAGATCATTTGAGATTCACAGGAGGCAGAACTAATGCCCTCAGGTCCCACTTAATGGATTTGTCAGAGACATCTGGTAGTCCACTGGGGAAAAAAGATCCTGAAATAGACAAGTTTTCCCGCTGACCTAAATGCATTCTTACGATTTTATCTGTGAATCCTCTTGTTTGCATTAAATATTAACTTATGCTATCTTGTTAATAACTGAGGAATGTGAGCACACTTTTTTTCCCTATCATTAAACTATAGGGTGATTTTGGATTCTTATATATTTTTGACAGGCTTATTTACAAAAGATGTTCATATTCGTGTATAAAGTGACCTTCATTCAGCCATGTTATAGCTGCTATCAATACAGTTTTATAGCATTTGATATAAAATGCTATACTTGGTTAGCAATGGCCTCATCCTCTCTGAAGTTAAATGCTTACGTTGTTCTTGTTTTGTTTCTCGGAATCAACATTGTTCCCATACCACTGGCAGATTTAATTCACATACTCATAAATAGAGTGGAAAAAGTACCATTTCCTGCAAATTAAAAATGTTTTCCAAATGACATTTGTTTTTTTTTTACTTCAGAGATTCTTTATTACTGTATATTTCGGGTTTTCAGTTTCTGTATAAAATTCTATTCCTTGATTGTATTAACATTAAAAATGAACATAGAAATCTAAGGTTTTTACACATGGAGATTAAATTAGTTTTTATGCTCTTTTAATTACTTTACTATAGCAAGGCAGAAAAGGAAAACAGCATTTTTGCCACTGTGGATGTAAGGGCTATTTCCTTACAAGTTATTTCTAGCATCTGTTGTAGTAATAGAGCCACTTATGTGCCAATAGAACAGAAAGGAGGGCAGGTTTTATATTTCCTCAACAAAGGTAGGATGTTGCTAAACAATGCTATGAATAACTACAGGGAAAGAATATGAAGCTTTAAATCAGGGGTCTTCAAACTTGGCCCTTTTATGACTTGTGGACTTCAATTCCCAGAATTCCTCAGCCAGCGTGAGGAATTCTGGGAGTTGAAGTCCACAAGACATAAAAGGGCTAAGTTTGAAGACCCCCTGCTTTAAATCTTCACTGAAGATGCAGGCTATATTATACCAAGTAGATTTCCCAATCTAGGGTTGATAGAGAGCAACTGGCTCAAAGTCATCCAACTGAATTCTCTGTGGGCCAGTCACCCCCTCTCAACCCAACTCACCTCACAGGGTTGTTGTTGTGGGGGAAAAGGAAGAGGAAGGAGTATTGGTGTGTTTGCTGCCTTAAGCTCTTTATGGGTGGGGGGAGGATAACAATCTAAGAAAAGAAAACATCATTGGACCAAAATTTCTCTCTATCTCTCTCTCTCTCCCTCTCTCTCTCTCTCTTTCTCTCTTTTTTTCCCCCCTCTCTTTCTCTTTCTGTCTTCCTGTGTCCTTAAATTAAGTCTTGCTTAACCAGAGAACACGTTCAGAGTATAGCCAGCAGTATTTACCATCATGATCCAAACAAAAATCAATGGAGAATGCAGGCAGGTATCTTGCATATATAAAGATGTAAAGAATGGGATAAAATAAATATAAGTAATAAATAAACAAACAGCACATGAAACACAAATCCACATCAGAAAGGCATCAAGTAATTTTCTTGTATTTTTGGAATAATGACAATATAGTATTTTGGAAAGGTTTTATTTTAAATATATATATATATTAAAAGGGAAATACTCAAATCTGCATCATACAACAATAAAACAAATGCAGTTTTTAATGAGCTTTTTTATTTCTCTGTATATTCGAATTTAATGTTCTATGCTTATTGTTTATTAATATTTATGGATATTAATATTTAATATTTATTAATAGCTGAGTGCCAGTGAAGCAAGATTCATGATATACAAAAATACATAGGCCTATGCACACATATACATCTGTATATACATTAACATAAAATACTGGGAAAGAAATTGTGCAAAGGTGGACATCTTTCTGAGTTACAGTACTTTCCGAAATTGGAAACTGAGTCTGAGATTTTAATTCCAGTTCACCAAGGACAAAACAGATATTTCTGGATAATTGTGGGTACAAAATGCACTCTCTGGTGGGCACTAACCTTCTTATACAGTGTTTAGCAAGTAAATTGAAAGTGGTTTGCCTGTTAACTCCAGTCAATTATTTATTTAACACTTTGTGTGCATTACACTGGAAAGTCTTTTCTCTGACTGGATTTAATGCTCTGCCATCCATACTAACTGAATGGAGATAAACAGCACTATACCAGTATCTCAGTATAAAATGACTCATGTCCTTGTCTGTTGCGGGACATTGAATCAGATATGTGTGTTTTACTGTGATGTCTGTATTATGCAATCTAGTATTCAGTTCTAATAATTTTATTCTTATCCAAATTTCATGACAG